CGCGCCGGCCCCGGGCGCGTGGCTATGGGGGGGGCCCCCGACCCCGGATACGTGGCTATGGGGGGGCCCCCGACCCCGGGTGCGTGGCTATGGGGGGGCCGCCCCCGGGTGGGCAAGTGTCCCCGCCCCCTGGCGCCCGGCGGGCGAACGGCCACACCCCCTGGCGCCCGACAACCTGAAAAGGTTGGGGACCACTGGTTTAGAGCAACCCCCAAACAGCTCTAAACTAAGCTGGGAGCTCTAAACTTAACTCCAGGATTACTGAGCTGAACATGGCTCCTTTGCAGCTCCCCCTGTCAACCACACTCAGTGGTTATTGGATATAGTTTAGGACGGACCTCTCTAGTTGTATACTTTACCTCAGTGAGTTGCATTTGCTAGAGTTACCATTCCTTTATTACCCTGCTTTGGAGTGGGAGTATGTCCTTTGGAAAGGGAGTGCGCAAATTGTGATTGGTACCTCTTAAAACATAGAAGGAGCTTTGTTTGAGTAAAGGGCTCAGAGGAAGCCCCAGGAATCTGAGCTGATTGGCTTGGTTTAGTGAGTGTCAAGTAACAGTAGAATAGAGGATCCACTGAAATCATGTCCTTCTAAATCACTCTTCTCTACAGATCTACTCCAGCCCACCTGAGGACAGCACTGCTCCCCCAGTACCTCCTCCCAGAGTAACTGCCCGAAGGCACAAACCCATCACAATATCCAAGCGCCCCCTGAGAGAAAGGCCTGTCTTTTATGGTGGTTTCCTGGAAGAAAATGAAGGTCAGTTCAGCTGTTCACTGCCACCACCTCAGTCTCCAGCTCTCACATTTCTCTTGTCAGGACTGTATATTGGAACCCAGCTTGCCACTCATTGGGGGAGGGAGGGATTTGAAACTTCAGCAGCAACATCACATTTCCAGGGCATTAATGTGTGGGGCGGAAAGATGGATTGTTTGGGGGTTGTATTTACCTTTGTAGAAAGTAACTGGCCCAATGAACCAGTTCACTCAAGCACATGCTTAACTTTAAGCAAGAGTACTCCTTTAAAAATGATGGACTTACTCAGTTACTTAAGGTTGAACTTGTGCTTAAATGTTTGCTGAATAAGAGCCAGGGTGTTCAGCACCTTGCAGGACTGAGACTGTAGTGCAGTCAGCGTTGCTATGGGGTTGTTTCTGTGGGTCATTCACACAGCAACAGGGAAAATAAAAAATATGCAAAACTGTGAAAACATGGTAGTAAACTTACAAAACCTGTCAGTTGGCTTTATGGACAAGCATACTACCAGGAGCACCTTTTTTTTTTAATTGACTAGGAAATTGAAATCAACAGTGTCCTTCTAAAAGTCAGAGATTTTAAAAGTACATCAGTAAATATCCTTTTCTCATACATTAAATTAGTGAAACTGAATAAACTTTCACTATCACTTATTTCTCAGCACCAGTGCAAGCTGTTTACTTTTTGCATTGTATCCGCATGAACAGTGAAAGCAGACTGGTCAGTTTTGCTTATTTCTAGTTACTGTCACAGACTCACTGAGCCTGATTTTGCTGAGAGTAGTGAGTGCTGAGTAAGCACCTGTAAAGATCAGGCCATCTCAAGGTTTCACCTGCTATGTGTATTTATTCTGTTTTCCTTTGGTCCACAGATGACAGCCAAGACCAGACTCCTAATGGCACCATCGTCTCTAATAGCGCAGAAGCTCCCAAGCCGCTACATCGCAGCAGACTGCCTACACAGAGAACAAGGGAGGCTGATCCTGGGAGGTCTGGCTCAGAGAGCAAGCCTGAACAGTACTCTGAGGTGGATGTTGGAAAGTTGGTGTCCAAGCTGCAAGATGGGGGAACTAAGCTCACCAACAAGGCTGCAAATGGAGTGGTGACTGGCACCACCGCTCTACAGACCTCCACTCTCCATACTAAGAGACCTGCACCGAGGCCCATGAAATACAGCAAGGAGGGTACGTTTTCTGCTTTGGGAGGTCTCCCTCACATGGGTCTCAACTGTTCTTGGATGGAACTCTCACCCATCTCGCTGCACTGCAGAAATTGGAACAAAATTGTGACAAGCATGCCAAATGTTTTGTGCTTTGTCAGACTGTAGGAGTGAGGGGTTGCAGAGGGAAGTGCTGGTTTTGCAACCTGTCTCTCTTTTCATGCAGTTCAACAATAGGGAACCTGAAATCAAAACCCTTACAAGCCAGAAATGAGCCTCAAATGGATGGTGGTATTTCAGAGCTTTATATGGCAATGGTAGACTAGTCCTCTGAAGCACTGGAGTTGACATTGGCATAGAACTTGGTGGGAACTAATGCAAGGTTTCACCTTTTAAACTCAGAGATCAGATAGTGGCCCAGTGGACTCTGTAGAATCAGCATTCAGTTCTGAATAGAAATGATTCAGAACCATCTTAAGATGAGTGCTTTAGATATTGAAAACTTGGGTAATTTGAAAAATCCAAAAGGGTGTTAGCTGTTTAGCAGTACACATGCATTTTGTGTTTCTCTCAGTGAAGAGAGAGAAAATCAATGAATTCACTTTTACTTTTGCTTCTACAGGTTGAACCTCTCTAGTCCAGAACTCTAGTCTGGAAACATCCATGGTCCGGAATGATTTTAGTTAGCCAGATGCTCACTTTTCATGCATTTGTCCAAGTTTCCCATAGTCCCATAAAGTTTGTTTACGGTCACCAGTCCTGGTTCTGTGTTCTGTGCTATTATTTAGCTCTAATTTACCCCGAAATATCCTTTAACAGCCCAGTAAGCAGTGGAAGTATCAGCAGTGCTACTAGATAATATTGACTTCCTGTGGTCCAGAAAATTCTGTGGTTCAGAAGCAGTAAGATCCCAAGGGCGCCAGACTAGAGAGGTTCAACTTGTAGACAGTTTCATAGTCAGGTTCTTGGTGCTATTATGTCTGGTTGTATACATGGTAGGGGAAGGTTTATTCCATGTGTTTCCATGGATTTTTTTTTTTAATTCCAAGGAAGCATTTCTATTTAGCACAAATTTTATAAAAAATCTTTTTTCTTTTAGTAATTTAAAAGAATTCAGGACCACATGTAAGTTGGTATTGTCCATTTAACATACATAAAGGGTGGTTTGGTTCTTTGCTTAGATGTACATCACTCCAGCTACACACACATAGTTATTTATAAAAAGGATGATTATTTTGTACAGTTTGATGGCTCTTCCTGTGCTCATCTCACTGCTTGCTAGATACTTTTATAACCTCATAGCCTTCACAGGGTCGCATTTAGAAAGGAAACAATAGGCTGCACTCATCTGTTGACTCCTGGGTATAATAAAAAGAAAGAATAACAAGATTTAACTTGGAAGCACAACTATTAACTTAATTTGAATAGTACTACTGATCTCATTTAAATCTAACCAATGAATATTAGAGAGAAGCTTGCTTTTGGTGTAATAGAACAGTTTTTATAGACTGGAGTAGATGAACATTAACTGTGATTTAGCATTTGAAGTTGCATCTCTGTAGTATGTCCAAAGTACACATCTTGACAAAATAGGTTTATGTGATTTTTTTGGGGTGTAGAAACAAATAATATTGAGTAGGTGTATGGAGCTTGTTACATTTAAATTTGGCATTGATGCAACCACTATTGGAATACTGTGCCCAGTTCTGATGTTCATAATTAGAGCCCTAGGCAGATACATATTTTGTATCTGAATCTTCAAAAATGAGCCACAGATATCCACATTGATAACCATGGATGTGGATACCCAGATATCCACAGATTCGCTGAGTTCTAGATGCAAAATTTGTATCTGCAACCATATCTACAAAAAAGAGCTGTGGATATCTGCATCCACATCCACAGACGCAGATATCCACGGATTTGCAGGTTTCTATTCCTAATTCAAGGAGGACGTTGAAAAATTGGACAGGGTTCAAAGAAATTTATGAGAATGATTAAAGAATTGGAAAACAAACCTTATGGTGAGAGACTCAAGGAGCTCAATCTATTTACCTTATCAAAGAGAAGGTTATAGGGAAACATGATCATGATCGCAATCTCAGTACCAACATGCAGAACAGAAATTTGATAAGAGGGCTCCTCCATCTACCATACAAAATGTATAACAATTGTGAGTGGCTGGAAATTGAAGCTAGACAAATTTACATTAGAAATAAATCAGAGATTTTTAACAATGAGGGTACCATTGAAAAAGCCTGCAAGGTTTGTGGTGCATTCTCAGTCACTAGAAACTTGTAGAAAACAATCCCATTTTGATTTAAGAGATAGAGATATAGTTAGTTAAGTTCTAATAGGAATTAATTCAGGGCAGCCTTATGGCCTTTGTTATGTAGGAGGTCAGAGTAGGTGATCATATCTTTTCTGGTTTCATAAGCTATGAATCAATGAAAATGCTTCCCAGAGAAGCTAAGTCATGAGTTGGAAGGTGAGCTGGGAAGAGGAAGAATGATTTAGAGCATGGGTGGCCAAACCATTACAGACTTAAGAACCAAAATAGTGGTAGATACAGTGCAAAGAGCTGAGGGAAAGAAGTTGTTGAGCAAAAAAAAAAAAACTGGTTGCCTCTTTAACAGCCATGTGTGGCCCAAGCCGAAAAGTTGTTGCAGGGGAGGGGAGGAAAGCTGCCCCTTTAAGAGCCACATGTGGCTTCCGTCGGCCACAGCATCAGATCTCGCTGCCACAAGCAGCACCCAGACCAGACAAGGAAAAAAGGTCAAAGCAGGGGAACACAGAACAGCTGCGGGTGCGGGAGCCAAGCCGTGGGTGCAGGAGCCGCAATTTTTCCTTTGAAGAGCCGCATGTGGCTCATGTGCTGCCGGTTGGCCACCCCGGATTTAGAGTGTCAGAGGAAAGAATGAGAAAGGGTTTTGGAGAGACTGAGCAGCACAAATAAAAGAGCATCTTCCCCACAACCTTCTGCCAGTGGTGGCAAGACAAGGTAAAGGACGCAGGAGGCTGAAGTTGGAGGAGTGCAATGACTGAACAGGTAACAAGTCAGAGGTAAGGTGAAGCAGGGTCACAGAGAGTTTTGAGCAGTAAGATGGCAAAGTTTAGCTGGCTCCTGAGATGGATTGGAAGCCAGGCCAAGGATCCCAAGGTGAGAGGGATAGGAAGCTGCTGAAAGGAATGGATAGGAAGGAAAATTCATGGGGCAGAGGAAATAAAGTCCTGGAATAAAGGCATAGTGTGAAATTTGGAGAAGCAGAGGTTCAGGAAGGTTCTAAGAGGGAACTACAATAATCTCAGCTATGACTCAACAGTAGAATTTAATCAGCTTCTCCCTGATTCCATAGAGAAGCATGGAACCTGTTTGCCATTAGAAATGCTTGTTACTCGTTTTTTATCTTAAATAATGCAGTAATAGCCAAAGAGCCATTGAAAAGTTTGCCATGAAACAGCAATGGCTGCCTCAGTTTGTGCTGTTAGATTCCCATACTCTGACAAACCTGAAACCTCCTTCTCTTTGCCATCTTTTGCTCTCACAGCATTGGTGACAGTGTTTGAAATCTCCAACCTTTCAGGTGAGAGTGACAGCTTCACCAAAGTGCGATCTCCTGGAGATAAGCCAGTGATAATAAGGCCCCCGGTGAGACCTCCAGACCCTCCATGCCGAGCGCCCACGTCTCAGAAGCTGGAACAAAAGCCTGAGCCAATAGTTGGGGGAACAGAGGAAATGTCTTCATCTGTGTAAGTAGTAAATCCCCATCAGGGCTGGGTGCCCTGAACTAACAGCCCAGCAGGAGGAAATTCCTAGCGGTCAAGGGATGTGGAAAATGTGCAGAAGGAAAAGGCAAAATGATAAAAGGCATATGGCTCTAGTAAAAGCCATGGCACTAGTAAAATAAAAACATGAGCATTTTCTAGTAGTCACAAGGACTCCATTTCCTCCCCAGAACCTTCTGTTGTGTCCAGTTACAATGGAGGGAGAAATCTCTAATCACTTCCTGATGAACAAACCACATAAAAGAACTAACTTTTAAGAAAGGTTGAATGCGGCTTGGATTTGTTCTAAGTAAAATGAGGGAGAAATTGACCACTAATTAAATTGAGCTCTACACTCAAGTTTCACTTTAGTCATAGTTGGAGTCAAGGGGAGTGTTCTTATGTAAAAAATGACAACAGATCTCAAGACTTCACCACTGACTTCAGTGTGGCTTGAAGAAGCATTTCTAAGGATCAGCAAAGAATGTACACTGTCATGCTAATGTGTAATGCCGTAACAGATCTTCTGCTTTTCGTTTCTCTGTAATCTCGAGTCTGTCATTGACACTGGCTGCTTGATACTTTATCGTGGACCTCTATGCTGGCGCTTCTTCCCACTCTTGTATCCCAATGATGTAGGGTTAAGATTTCTACCTCTCCCGCCAAGGCCTCACATACCCCATGGAGATGTATTACTGTGAGGAGACATTATTTGTGATGGCATGAATCAGTTGAAGTACCCCAAAAGCCAATGGAGTGTCATGCTCTCTGTGGAGTAAGAAATGTAATACCAAATCATCACAACACAGCATGGGGAATGCTGAGAGGAGCAGAGCCTGAGTTCCCCATGCATTCTGACAGCGCTCCTGACCCATGGTGTCTCCTGTCAAGCCCTGCTTGATTTGATGAATAACTTTCAGTTAAGCAGCATTATATAGCTAATACAAATCCTGCAGTTTGCACGCCTTGCTCAGATCAAGCACCTATTGGCTTCAGTAGGCTTCATGCCTGAGGGAGGACTGCAAAGTTTGGCCTGCTACTGTTAATCATTTGCTGTGATTCCTTTTTGTTACAATTACAGTTTGAAGCCAGGTCTCTGGTAAGTCCAATGGAAACCATACGTCATAAAAATAAGGATACAGGTGTTAAAGGGTCTCATGCTTGGGCGAAGGTGTTTAGGCTGCAAGGGTGCAAATAAGATGTTATCTCAGGCAGCAAGCAGTCAGAACGGTGTCAGGCAAACACAGAACAAAAGGTGAGAGCAGGAGTAGCATCTCTGATTAGACCAGAGAAGGACACTGGTAGGAGGCTATTGTTGACCATTCTCAGTGCATTTCATTGGCAGCCTGTCTTCCTCCCCATAGCAGGTAATTGCTCCTTGACACAAATAGTGTCTCATCAAATAGTTGCCTTTTCATTGGAGAACTTAAAGAACCGTTCTGCTTTTGTTTGCAGAGTGGCCTCCAGAACAAAGTTCTTTGAGACCGCTTCCCGGCGGACAAGCAGGTAAGAGATGCCAGGAACCTAAGGTGCTTTTGTAACCTACACACCTAGAGAATGTCTAGATTACAGGGTTTTTTCAAAAAAAAGTGGCCTTTTTTCGAAAAAACTTTACCTGCATCTAGACTGCCATTGCGTTCTTTCGAAATTAATTTAAAAGAATGCGGAGGTTTTTTTGATAGCGGTAAACCTCCTTTTACGAGGAAGAATGCCTTTTTTCAAAAGAGCTCTTTCAAAAAAAGGCTTTCTTGAACACAAACAGGACTTTTTCAAAAGAGAGTGTCCAGATTGCCTGGGTGCTCTGTTTTGAAAAAGTGGATCGCTTTTTCAAAAGTTGTGTGGCTGTCTAGACTCTCTCTTTTGACAGAGGCTTGTAGTCTAGATTCCTTCTAAAAAGCTTCTTTTGAAAGAAGTGTTTAGTCCAGACATACCCTCGGTGTGCTAATATAGGCACACAGGGCAAAGAAAATGAAAATATCTCCTTATTATAGAGAGGGGGCTCAGGCACAGCTTGAAGTCTCTCAGGCTACTTAAAGTTGGACTTGTGTTTAAGTCCCCTGCTCATGGAGTGGCACTTAGACCAGTGTTTCTCCACCAGTGGTACGAGTACCCTTAGGGGTACTCGAAAGAAGTCTGTGGGGTATGTCAATGCAACTGAAATTTGGAGAAAACTGACTTTTTGATGGTTTTACAGCGCTGTATTATTTCTGTACTTTTTACACCCCAAAATTTAATCTCCTGCCCAGCTACGATTAAGTTGTTTAAACAATTGTGTTGCAATGATAGAAAAAAATTGTGTGTCTGAAAACTGTAGGTACTGGGGTACTTATAATTTTTTTTAAAGTGATACTTTATAAAAAATGGTTGAAAAACATTGACTTAGACCACTTACCGTGAGTGATAAGAACAAGGGAACTCTACAGCATAAGCTGAAAGGCAGCTGGCATTATAGCTCAAGCTGTAGAGGCTCCTATGTTAAGCAATAGAGTTCCCATGTTCAAATCCCGGTGGCAGTTATGCTTTCGCACACGAACAAAAAACCTGTACTTAGCACAGAAGTGGTTCTCTGATTCATAGGTGGGCAGCACAGGCTAGAGACCCCCATTGGGTTCTTTACTGGACTTCTGTACTCTTGGGTAACAGAGATGGAGTCCAGCCATAACAACTGCGTCCAAACAAACCAGACTTTGTTGTGTTTATAATCTAGATCCAGCTTTGAATTTTGTAGTTTGAGCTCATCGCTGCTAGTTATTAAAATATTTCTCTGGATCATTGTTGTTCCTAGTTCAGCTTTAGGCTAATGTGTTGGGTGTTGTGTTGCATTTCACAATACTGAGTGTCTGAAACACTTAGGTTCATGGAAAAGATTAGACTGATTGGTACCTTGAATTTTCCATTAGCAAGTGCAGAGTGTAACCCCTTGTACAGCATTAAACATCAAACTGCCACAATTTTCAGTCAGAACTCTGCTGTTAATAAATATGATGGCTTTGAGGTTAGTGTCAGACCTTCCAGGCAGGGTGGGGTGGCAGTGTTTAGATTCAGTTCGCCCTTTCTTGCTGCTGTAAATTTAGCTCTGAGCAGTGCCGACACATGCAGGTGTCATGTCCCCAGTCTCCTAGATCACTAGCGCCATTGGTTGGTTTGTGGGTTTTTTGGCTTATAACAAAAGCTCAATCATGACTGTGTAAAGATCTTTGAGTATGACAAATGGTGGGTCTTTTGTAGCAGTGCTTATGATTTCCTTTCCTAGGGTACTGAGCAATATACACTAACCTTGCCTGCCATCCCATTCCTCTCTGTAGATTGAGGGCCCTGATTAATTAAATTGATTTTCTTTCTCTCTCTCCCTCCATTCCTTCACTCATAGCTCCTCATCACCACAAGGCAGACTCCCCACTGATGAGAGCTGAGGCTAAAGGTATGTGTCTGTCACAGACAGCAACCAGTTGCATAATTTTAACTTGACTTCAGCAGACTGGGTGGAAGGGAAGCCAGAGGAGCTAGCTGAGAATCTGTTAGGAGAGACTGATAGTGGCCTCTTCTCCCCGTCTCTAGCTGAACATTGGGGAGGACAGGCCATCAGAAGTGGTCCATTTTCCCTCTCCTGTTGCAGTGTAGTGGGGCAAGGTAACCAACCTAGTGGTGTTGGGTTGCATGTAATCCATTATTCCATGGCATGGATTCCACTGGAATCTGCTGCAGAAGCTGCTGCCTATTCTCTGGGAACCCTGGCTATGGACACTACTACTTTGTCCTACTAGGCTTTAAGGTAGTTCACTATGTGTTAAGTCCTTGATGTGAGCAGCCACACACAAAGCTGAGGGCCAGGTGCGAACCACACCAGAAATAGGATGAGTTTGGTTTCAGGCCTGTTTCTAAGGGCTAAGTGTTCAGTGTGCATTTGCCACCATTGACTGTCTCGCACTGCTCATCCAGTTGTTTTCTTCTTTCAGGTTTTTAACCACCTAACCCTGGCTGGCTCCAGGAGATTTTTCCCACTTCTGAAATGAACTCTCCTGCTCCCCAGACTGTTTCAATTTGTGTGATGCAATCCAAGAGTGCAGCTGTCCTGGATACTGACAGCGTAGCATACCGCTGTGAATAGCTCATGGGGTTACACGAGAGGGGGGTGAAATAGGAGGAAGATCCAGACCTTGTCCCTGTTAAATTAAATGTTTGTTTTGTGCCATTTTGCCGCAGCTTCCCTAGCTCCTGCTTGGGCAGCATGTAAAGGACACTTGTCATTTCTACACAGGGTGATAAACTGTGGGTCTGAGAGAGTGGTGAAAGCAGACTTAATCTACAGAACTGGTCAGGCAATGGAAGGAACAGCCAAGAGCACTGAAAGCAATCTGCCCTTCAATTCCCTTTGGGAATTCCACTTTGGAACGACATGGCACATCCATCCAAGTTCAGTCAAAAGGCAAGCGACCAATCCCCAGAGTTTGGTAACCTGGGTGTAACAAGCAGGCACCTGATTCAGACCCCTCTGTCCTTGGAAACTTCAGTGGCATGTTTTTAAAATGGGTTGAGTTCTAAGTAAACCATACTGTGTTTCAGTGGCGAAGGCAGCAGTGTGCTTTTCCAGAAATCTCCGTTAACTACAGGGGTCCATGTCCTGGTTCCAGTGACAGTCAATGTTCAGCCCAGCATAGGTATAGCTGTGCAATGTTCAGTCTCCCTTCTTTCCACACAGATGCAAGGCAGCACCTTGTCCATTCTGATTTGCCTTATGTGCTCCAAGTGTCCCCAAGCCATTCCCAGGAGTCAGGGGTCTATTAGTCAGGTACCATTCAGAGCTGTTCCCCAATTACCCATTGCGTAGAAGAAGGGGTTACAAGTTATTACAAAACCCTTCTGTAAAGTTACTGGTTCTGGAACCAAAGTAAACCTCCACGCTGTGTATTCCAGCTCTACCTAGAGTACAAATACTGACTTGCCAAAGGACCACTGCAGAGCATGCAACTTGCTGCTGCTTTCAGAACTGTCCTCGCCGCCTGTCTGCGTGCGGCTAATGTGAAATCCTGCATTATGAATGAATGTAATTCTCATCTCTTCTGGAAATGACACAGATGTGCGAATGGTGTACCTGTTACCTTAGACTGCAGTCCTGTACTCACAGCTGGCAGTCCTGGGGCTGTGCTTTAAGCCGTACGAGATAAAGGTGGCTTTTACAAAAATTATGTAAACATCAGTACTACAGCATGCACATCAGCATCTCCAGGCTCTCAAAGTGTGTGATCGCTCCAGTTCCTACATGATACTTTTTGGCTCTGACAGTGATTTTCTTCTAATTGCAAAAGTGTAACATTCTCTTTAGGCAAAGTTTGTTTAAAAACACTCAAAGATCATCCAGTTGCAAGTGTGCTTAATGGAAACTGAGAGTTAGTGGTACAGTGCTTTTACCTGTACTAGATTTACACTGATCTTGTGGGGAACCTTATCCAGTCTAAGGACCAATTTTATCTGGTACCAGTGGTGCTGCACATTTTTAATCCAGCTCTGAATTTGGCCCTGACTTTTTCAGGAAGGGAGGACAAAAACACACCACTCTGTCACTAAGAAATTAGCCACACTTTTAGCCACACCTCTCAAAAGTAAGTGTCTGTATGTGTGCATGCACATGTGTGCACATGCATGCCCGCTAATTTAGAGTGCTGAGTTGTGGGTCTGTGAGACTGTGTGCAGGTCTCCTAATTTTAGGTGCCCAGTTTGGAGACACCAAGAGCCTGGATTTTCAAAAGTTCTAAGCACCCAACATTCCTGAACTCAAAGGGGGTATGTCTACACTGCAGAGTTTTCAGAAAAACACCTGTTTTTCCAAAAAAGTCACTTATGTCCACACTGCAATAGCGTTTGTCAACAAAAAAAATGGAAAGAACAGAGGGGATTTTCTGACATTGGTAAGCCTCTTTCTACAAGGGAGAAACCTTTTTCTGAAAGCGCTTTTTTGGAAAAAGATGCATATGGACAGGGAAGAGGGAGTTATTTCGAAAGGAGGAAAAAGCTCAGGTGCCTTGGTGGCCACTCCGTCCATTGTAATCACAGCTTACGTGCGATTCAGTGTGGACTCTATCTTTTGAAAAAGCAGATTGCTTTTTCAATGCGCTTTGGCAGTGTGAATGCTCTCTTTCGGAAGAATTTTTTTCAAAAGATCTCTTCTGGAAAAGCTTCTTCCAAAAGAAGCCTGTAGTCTAGACATAGCCAGGGAGATACCAATGCTCAACAGCACTGAATAGCTAAATATTAAGTAGCCCCAAATAAATTAGACATTCAACAGCTGAGACACTGAGAATGGGAGGTACTTCTGAAAACTTGTCATTAACCATTCTCTCCATCTCTGCAACTGTACCAATAACTCTTCTGTGCACAGAAGGAAATTAAAGAAACAGAGCCAGATTCACTTGTCCTGCAGAAGACATCTTTGTGGCGGCTTGGGGGGAAAGAGAGGGTAGGAATTGTTTGTCAATGGGAAAAACAACATGACCCAGCAGCAGAAGAGGTTTGTTTTTCAAATTTCTGTTTAATTCTAAGCAATGACAGGTAGTAGTTAAACACATTTCACTCGATCCTTTTAAATTCATGTCTTATGTGTCTGTGCTCTTTTTCTCCATAACCATATCCGCATGCTGGGATGATTTGACTTTAATATGTGAGGTCCTGCAGCATGAAGGTTTGGGGAACACTCCCCCATGCCTGTGACCAAGAGCAAAGCAACTGAAAGAAGACTGAGGATTCAGCACTGCTGTTCTGAATTTCAAGGTGTCATGTGACAGCCATCTGATCTGTTTTGTCTTGTGCTGTGATGTTTACATTTCCATGAAGTAAACGCTCAGGACACGTGTCCTTGAAAGTGTCTGTGTCCTTCCTTTTTTTAATTACATGAATTTTATTTAAAAACCTTTATCCCTCCAGATGCTTTGCTGGAGCTTGGCTCACAGACTCCTAGTGTCTTTGCACATTCTGATGTGGATCATGAAAAGTGGACATAGAGCAGCTGATCAAGTCCATAACACAGTTGATCAAGTCCATCCTTCTACCTGTTTTGGTCTATTTGCTCCTTTCCTAATGGAGTGTCTAGTCTAATAAAAAAGTCCCCAAAACTGATTTTCCAGCTTCCATAGGAAAGCATTCTACAATTCAGGAAGACTTGGTTTGGGTTTTCTCTGTTATTTCCTGTAAATTCATTCTTTAATTTCGTCCCATTACCACCTGGCACAATTCTTAAATCAAGCCATAAATAAATCCTCTTCCTTCTATGGCAGATACAGTGCACCTATATGAAAACAAGTGAGTGTCTTGAAATGTAACTGAATGTGGCTGAAGCCAGTGCTCCTATTTCACATGCTGACAAGGTGTGGGAATGGGGGAAAGGGATGCACAGATTGTTACAGCATATGCTAGGGGAGAGGAGCAGCATTAGCATCTGCCTGTAACCCAGCCAAGGGCAAAAGCATTGACTGTTAATGGTGTAAGATGACCAAATTCCAGGGCCATTCTCCATGCAGCAAAAGCTAAAGCAAAGAAAAATGAATCTCTGCTTTACTATAGGTCCTTCAATAGCAGCAAGCTGTTAAGCTGGGGAAGGTGTTAGGTTCAAACAGCTCCCAGAAACAGACGCAAGGGTGACCTCTTGAGTGTATGAAACTTTTCCCCTCAGACAACTAACACCAGTGGGACCTCCACTGCATGGGGCAAGTTAGCCTTGGCAAAGGGCTTTTCATTTCAACCAGGAAAGTTTATAACTAGAGACAGGCCTGAACCAAAACTGCGGATCTGCTTGTATATGAACTTTGAATCCTGCTTTGAACTGCTAGCTACATGCTCCTCTCTACTGGCAGCCTTCTTCTCCTCCTGGGCCCATTTTTCATTTCTTTGGCTACACCACACAGCCTCCGTTCTCCTTCAAACATAATTTGCCTCATTGAGCCCTGCAAGGGGCTCCACCAAGTGAGGCTTCATCTTTAGCCACGAGGAACTAAAGTTTCTACCTTCTATTCCACATTGAGCCAGTGTGTAGCATGTTTTTCCTTTACTTGTTCACTCAGAGCCGGCGGAAATCATTGTCTCCTATGCTTCAGGCCAGGAAGTTGTGGGCAGACTCCAAGAAGCCAACTTACATGAACAGAGATGGAAGACTGAAAATGGGCCACTGCCAAATGCACATCTCCAAATGTCTCCTGTTTGGTACAAAAGCTAAGAGTGGGAGTGACCACCCAAAGATGTGTCATTTGCAGAACTCAAGGGTTGCATTCGAAAGCTGTGTGATAACGGGCCAATAGCTGAAAATAGAGCTATAAAACATCTATTATCGTCATTAGACCTACAGCCAATATTAGCCAACAGAGTGATTAATTACAATTAAATAAGATCTGACATTTTTACACTAAGAAGAAAGACTACTTCTTGTGACTGGGTTTTTATATTTTAATTTGTAATTGTGTGTCTAGTAATAAGGGGAAAACAGAACTATTTCCTTTGTTGGGTTACAATTGAATACATCTCTGGTCTAATTTTGTCTTGGTCACAGCTGTGTGATTTCACTGGCTTTTTACCCTTTAATATTTAAATATTCCATAATTGTTAACTTTTACAATCAGCTCATTCATCTCTCTAAATCAGTGCAGTTGTTAGCACGTACATACATGCTTTGGGATTCTTAATGCAGGGCTCAGTATGCTCAAAGCAATTAGTTATGGGCTGATAAACTCACACCCATTTGTGGAGGATTATTACAAAGCAACAGACTCTATGATGCATAGTATTTAAATTAGACTTTTTTTAGCACCAAATCATTGATTCTTGTTCTGTCCCCCCCCCCCAAGATCTGCAACTGTTGTTCAAATCTTTTCTCTTAAGCCTCTTGCCCTGTTTGGATTGACTAATTTTGCATTATTATAAAAAAAAATCCAATTCTGGGACTTTGGTTTATTTTGCTAGAATAGCCCCTCCACTTCCAAAGAAAGGCATGAAAGAGCCAGGGTTTATGGAACAGAAACATCAAGACTGGGGAGCAGGAAAAGCAGATGGTAGCCTGAAAGGACAGGAGAACATCCGAACAGTTAGAGGGAGCAACAGCTACTAAAATGAGGAAGCTCGGGTGACTGAAGAGGGACTTTTATGAAAGAATGGACAAAGCAGCGAGAGCTGTTTGGGATTGTCTAGTCTTACTGACAGCATGAATGCTAATACATAACTTTCTGCTACCTGACTCTGCGGTGTCATTTAGCTTTATGGCTTTCTAAGGTCTCCCAAAACCAGCCATCTTCACTGTTGACTGTGAAGGCTTTTCCCCAACAGTGTAGGGAGCCAGCACTACCAATGCTAACTTCAGCAAACTAACAATGAAGGGGAAATCTTGGGTCTCAACAAATAGTCCTGTAGCACCTCAGAGAATGCTCATTTTTTTTAAAGTTACAAACTAACACGGATACCCCTCTGAGACTCTTGGGTCTCAGTGTCTAGTCTGTGGCTTGGGGTGGCTCAGTTCTGGGAATGTAAGAAAAAAGGTGGAAATAGCCAATAAAATGAGTCCCCCATACGACTGGCAAGGAGTACAGTAGTTCCTCTGAAACTCCATGTTCCAGGGGATTGATGCTAGGGATGTGTCCCTCTTGGCTGTTCGTCTTGGTTTGAGTGCTCATTTCTCAGGAGGGTTACACCCCTGACTCTCTGAATCCTTCCCATCCTAACAGACCTCCTTTCAGGCACAAAGATGGCCAGGGTGGCAGCTGGGGATTAGCGGAGCAAGTTTTACTCATGCTCTCCGGTTAGACAACAGGGCCAGATTTTGGCCAAACTTGTCGTAGGCCTGCAAATGATATTCTCCTTTCTAAATCTCCCTTATTAGGAAGCATCTGTATGAGGCCAGTGTGAAAGCGAGGGCTCTCTGACAACCCCCGGGTGTTCAATCGGTTCTCTGATTTTTATCTAGCAAAACCCATAAAATACTTTCCATCCGCCTCTTTCATCTGTGTGTACAGAAAGGGCACTATTAGACGGCGGCAGGGAAACTTCAAACAGCATCCTGGGGAAGCCTTCGCCAAAACACGTTTCATGAGACTTAGCGCCCCATGCAGCTGCACGAAATTAGTTTGGTCAGAACTCCTTGCAGGCTTTCTAAACCACTGTCTATAGTTCCTTTAATAGTTTCTGGCATGTCTACTGTGCCTCACAGCTTAAGAGCCCCAAATGGTTCATAAGTGTTGTGTAGATATATATGCAGCCACCACTGATGTGCAGCCATTTCTAGGGCAGAACACAATGTCTTTAACAGCAAGCGGGAACATTGCATAACAGTTGAGTGCAGCAAATGATGTGATGAAGGGTGGGGGGGAACGCCCAGTACATAAGCAATTGAGTGAGACCACAGTTGGATTGAGGAAGGATGAATGAGAGTGAATTGCAACTTTACTTCTTTGAGCTTTCTTATAGATTATATATGAAATTCTGGCCCCATTGAAATCAATAGGAGCACTGCTATCAACTGCATTGGGGCCAGGATTTGACCACCCTAACATTAATAAGTTAAAACAAATATATTTTAAGAACTGTCACCTGACAGACACTT